GAGAGCATGAACAGGTGGGAGTTGTCTTACCAACTCTGAGAGGCCTGTTCATGCTCTCTGTATGTGTGTATATATATCTCCTCAATGTTTCACTCTATATGCATCCGAAGAAGTGGGTTGTGGCCCACGAAAGCTTATGCTCTAATAAATTTGTTAGTCTTTAAGGTGCCACAAGTACTCCTGTTTTTGTTAGTCTTAAAGATGCCACAGGACCCTCTGTTGCTTTTTACAGATTCAGACTAACACGGCTACCCCTCTGATACCAATTCCCCCAGGATTTTACAAACAGCCTAGTGTGACCCTTATTGGCTAGAAGGTTTTTGCCTATGTGTCATACACTGATGCCTGAGGAAACACTTGGCCCCATGTCTGACGTCAAGAGATGCCCATTACAACACAGGCCTAATGAACAGCCTAAAGAGCCAGGAACGGCTCCTCCTGACACTAGCAGCCCAAGGCCACAGAGCGGCACTCCCACCCTCCCACCAAACGAGGCTACGGGCAGATGCATCACCCGGCTATGGGGAACCCTACTCTAGCTGGAGTCCCTGCACATCCAGTGCTTCACACCCATCCCCCAGCCCAGATGAGAGCTCCTGCCCCATTCCTCAGGGAGGTGCCCCAGCCCCCACCCCCACCCTGAAGGAATAGAGCAGAGCCCCACAGCGCCCACAGACAGCAGGCCACGGTCCCAGGCAGGCATCACAGCACACTGTTCTGCTCTGCACCTGCGTGTGTCTCGTGAGGATGGAGAGGAGCGATTCTCCTTGGCTGTCCAGTAATCTCAAAGTGCTTTACAAACAACACCCCTGGGACGTAGGATGCCGCTGTTGTGCCTGTTTTACAGAGGGGGGAGGCGAGGTGCAGTGAGGGAAAACGATTTGCCCAAGGCAGGTAGCAGTTCAGTGGCAGGTCTGTGAATCCCATAGTCTGACTCCCGGTTCTGTGCTCTAAGCACTGGGCCACACCAGTGAATCAGAACGTCCCTTGTTTTCTGTTGTGTACAGTGCCCACCCCCATGCCCGAGAAGGGAGTGGGTGGGAAATTTCCTCCTCTGGCCTTGGCAGCAGGGTGCAGTAAGGGGGCGAGCCTAGGGCTGGGCAGTAAGGAGGGGCAGCCTGGAGCTGGGCAGCAGGGGGCAGTAAAGGGGGGAGCCTGGGGCTGGCCTGGCAGGGAGAGGGGAGCGTGGCGCCTGTTGCCGCTGTTCGCCCTCCGGCCAGAGGGGGCGCTGGGCAGCAGCAGTGAGCGCCTCGCTCAGCGGGTCCCTCCTGCGCCCTTGTCTCGTGCCCTCTCCGTAGGCCGCCGTCGCGCTGGGCCCTGGCTTGAACGCGCTTGCGCACTGCGGCCTCTCACCTCACCACCATCCTCCCTGGTGCGAGGCGCGTCAACAATCATCGGAGCCGCCAGGCACGAGCCGAGGCCGCGAGACACGCGCCGACAAGGTGTGGGGACGCCGCCGCCGCCGGGCTTGCGGGGCGGGGACTGTGAGCGGCGCGTCCTGTCCGGCAGCGTTTCTCTTGTCGGCCCAGGGGCCCGGCTGCGGGCTCCTTTCGGCGGGGGAGGAGGCCTGGGATTGTCACCGGCGGTTTGTCTGGGGCGGGGGCGTTGGAGCCGGTGAACGTAGCTGTTGCAGCTGGCGCGAGCCGCGCATGCGCAATACGTTGTGTTTAGCTGCTGCATCCCTTCCCCCCGGGTGTGGTACCTGGCCGGGGGGGGGCGGGGGCAGACTCTGCCTGGCTCGCGGCCCTGTCGCCCTATAGCCACGCTGTGCTGGTGACCCCATCCCCCCGCACTAGGCAGGAGCTGGGAGGGGTAACAGCTGGAGGGGGTGTGGCCATAACACGTCAGGCTCCCCCCCCACACACCCCGCCGCAGCTCCCCTGGTGGGAAGCGGAGCCGATGCTCGTTTTGGAACCGGCTCTCGCCCCCACGGGCAGGGGGTTTCGGAAAAGCCGTTTCACTTCACTTTGCTACTTACACTGTAGCTGGAATCAAGCCGTACGGGGCTTAAGGCGGCCGCTTATTTTGTAGCACAAATAGGTGGCTGCTGGCTTGCAGGCTGTCCAGGTCCTGAGCTGAATGGTCTCGTTCTCGCCCTGCTATAAGCCTGTTACAAAACCACCCACAGCACCAGAGGTAAAGTAAAAATGGAGCATTATGGGGAAAACTTAGTGAGTTCCTGCAGCTCTTTTTTATTCCTGGGAGGATGTGTGTCTGAAATTCTACACAAGGAGGATCTCCACAGAGAAAGATTGAGCCTATGCTTCTGCCCGGAGCAATCAGTTTCTCACTCACCTGACAGGTGGCAGATCCCTGTTCAGATCCCCCTCATAGGGCAGAGGGGGGACTTGAACAAGGGGGGGTCTCACATCCTGGATGAGTATCCTAAACACTCTGCTAAAGATTTTAAGGGAGATCCGCCTACCACTCTTCCCCAGGCTGTTTTGTGTGGCATTAGGCAGCCTCTGCACACACTTACCAAGACCTACAGGTGAGTTAGGCAGAGGAGAGCCTACCTCCCCTGGCTTGTGGATTGAGCTGGGCCTTACGCATGAGATAGGTATCCAGACACCTACAGGGAGGCAGCAGTGCACATGGCCATAGACAGAAACATATGTAGGGAACTTCTACCGTGAAAACTTAGGCACTGGGTGAGTTTAGGCACCTACAGAGTTAGGCGGAAGCCAGACGTTCGTGTTGTGGATCATAGTGGTGCCTAAAACTGAGACTGAAGTGCCCTTTGTGAATCTGGGCTTCCCTCTCCAAGAAGCTGAATGTGCAATTTTAGCAGCTGGCCTAGGGAGTCAGAGAATAGGATATGACTGGAATCTTTGTTTTCTTGCATGTGCACGGTGTAAGTATTGTCTACAGAGTTGTAAATCCCCCTGAAGAAAACAACTGTCTCCATATTAGTCCCTAATAGGATAGGGGCTGTCTCTCTTTTCTCCACCCCCCGTTTTGCTACACAGCACTCTATAGATAAAAGACTGGCCTGATCAGAATATGAACCAAAGGCTTAAAATAGGTATTGTTTTATGGTATTCATCTCTACTTTCATGTATTATTTTGCAGCTACAAGGAGTGTATTGAATATCCAGAAGAATGGCTGCTGATACTTCTGTTGAAATGTTTTCAAAAGTTCTGGAAAATCAAATGCTTCAGACTACTAAAGTAGTGGAAGAACAGCTGGATGCTGAGATTCAAAAATTGGACCAGATGGATGAAGATGAATTGGAACGCCTTAAAGAAAGGAGGCTTGAAGCACTAAAGAAATCCCAGCAGCAGAAACAAGTAATTTTCTGGCAGCATTTTAGATTCTGAACTTCAAAGAATGGGATCAGATGCTTTATGCACTATAGCAAAGACTACCATAGTTGATTCTGTTTGTGTTTGATAGAAAATCTCAGGGGAGGGTAGGTGTTGAATAGCAGTACACTTGCTTTGGGCTGAAATTTGGCATAGAATCATAGAATACAACATGTCTAACACATTTTAATTTTTGGCCTTGATTTAGAACAGTTTGGTTACATCAAAATTATACAGATGCGTATTTAAAAAAAAATCTGGATTAAGAGAAGGGTAAGCAAATAAACTGATATTTGGATTTGATCATGTTAATATTCAGGTGATTGAGTCCTCAAATATTATTGACTGAAAACACCAGTAATGCACACATGCCAGCAGACCTTAGGGATCCCCCTCCTCCAAACTTCTAAACATTTGAAATCTTCTCGTGGTAGTATGCAAGTCCCTCCCTCTCTATGTTTTGAGGCATTTTACAAAAGGAATGATGCATGGCTTCTCCCAGCTCTTTACAGGGCAGGTCGCCTATCCTGATTCTGCAAAGGGGCTTCTCACAATCCAGTAAGACTTTGGGATGTATGTGAAGAAAACTTATTTGCTCATGTCTTTTTGCAGGGACAGGAAATGATCCTACCTTGCTGTTGCAACCATCTCATTAAGCTATTGATCTTGATGTTTCCCAAAAATCTTTTGCCACATAGTTTGGGTTTTCTTAGCAACTGGTGTGGAACTTGAGCTGCAAATAGGGAAGTCCTTTGGGTTTCCCTACCTAGTATGGTCAAGCCTCAAAAACTATGAAACTGGGCAGTGATAGGAAGTGGAAAAGGACATTCCAGTTGTGAAGGGAATGGTAGAGGCCAATACCAGACTTTGAGATGTGGATGCAGCTGAATATCTGTTAGGCTGGAATGCTGAGGGATATGGAATCTTAATAGTTCTGACGCCAAATAGACCTGAACATATTTTTTTGATAATGTAACAGGTCTCTCTCTCTTGCTCATTTTCCTTGAAGAACAATTTAGTTTGTTGTTGACTCTTTCTTACTATTTCTTCTTCTTTGTATTCTCTTGATTAAAAAAATCAAAATAATTAGGCTATACTAGGCACCATGAGCATGGACAACATTCAGGATATTTATGACCTCCTTTTAATTCAGTTCACTCCTTCATAGGGTAATACTTTCTTTTTGCACTGGCATCTTGTTAAAACTGCTTTGTTTTAACTTTAAAAAATAGGCAACTTGTGATTTAGCTTTGGAAAAGTAAGTACTGCTTGTAAACATCTAGCTTACTCAATCCTTCTCCAATCAGTGCAAAGTAATTTTTATTATAACGGGCTAGTCTTTCAAAATTGCAGGCACACATCTGCACACCTAATCATGCAATTACTGCAGTTTCCATGTCCCATTATAATTTTTCCCTTGTGAAATTGTAACTGCATTCAGTAACTGTAAACAAGCATGCATTTTTGTGTGTATAATTGCGTGCACGTTGTTCTGGAAAACTTGCTTATGTTGGGGTATTTGGATTGAACCTAGATGTTTGAGGACTTTGTTTGTATACAATTGTCGTTTTAAAGATTATCTAAATACTTAATGTATCTATTGTAAAGCCAGCTCTGGTGACCTTTATAATGTTGAGATGCTAATGAATGTTTCAGAAGTTTTAAAAATATAGTATTGATCTGCATTTTCTATATAGGGACAACTGAAAGTAAATCAGTTTTAAAGCGTGCTGTGTCATGCTTTCTGTGTTGGTGGGGGTGTTTTTTTTTTTGTGATTATAGGTGTCATGCTTTGGTGAATTTTTTTCAGTATACAATTACTTTCTGAAGAGGGCAGTCCACGTTGCAACTTTGAGGCTCCCAAAATTGTTGAAAGAACTTCGGGGTTTATATCCTCTCTTGAATACTGGCGATTTAATCTGTTCTTTGTAGGAGGTTATGCTATAGAAGTGTATTGTATTCTGTACAAGGACTGCGGCTCTCAACAAAGCAGTAACTCCTCCTCCTCCTTCTACCCCACCAAAAAAAATATGGGCAGATTAACCCAGTAGCCATGTCCAGACCAGTGGTTTTTCATCTATTGTGCGGGGGAAGAAGGGGTGAAGAGGAAAAAGTAGTTTCTTTTCCTGACTAGCTGCTATAGTTTGACTTCAAATGTTTCCCAGTAAAACCCTTCTGCCCCTTCCCTTCTTTTAAAAAAAAAAGGATTCTAAGCTTTTATTTAAGCTTTCAGGTGGCAATCTTTTTTTTATTTAATATAAGTATATTTTTATAACATGTCAGGGAGTTCTCTAAAAGTAATATTGCTCTCAGAATAGATTAAATACAATTAAGAAACATAGTACTAACTTTTTGCTTTCTCATCATTAGGAATGGCTCTCAAAAGGACATGGAGAATATAGAGAAATCCCAAGTGAGAGAGACTTTTTCCAAGAAGTCAAAGAAAGTAAAAATGTGGTTTGCCATTTCTATAAAGATACAACCTTCAGGTACAGTAAATACCTTATTTTAAAGAGACTCTTGTGATGCTAAGAATGTGTAAAAGTAAATAAACTATTCCAAAAGCAGCAAGTGAAACTGAATATAGAGGTTTTAAAATCATCAGATCTGTCAAATCTCTCAGAGCAGGGGAGCCTGCAATCAGTCATGTTTCTACTAAAACTAAATAAGCACTTAACGTGGAGCTTATTTTATAACATCATATGATTATGTTGACCAGCTTCGTACAAATATTCACTACAGTCTGTAGACAGGATTTCTAGGGGAGCATTTTGCTTCACATCATCATTGTTGTTTAGCTTTGAGGCAGGCAGTTCATTAATATTAATCTGAGCAGCCATGCCAGGAAAGGGGCTAGGGTAAGGGAACTAGGTAAAATTCATTTTGAAATAATGGGTTTATCCCTAGAAAAGGGTCATTGGAAAACTTTGGTAGCAGAGGAAAAAAAATTGGTGGTGATTGTTATTCACTGAACAAATCTCACTAGATTGCTTCTTAAAAACTTGGGCCTGATCTTGTCCCTGTTGAAGTTCAATAGCAAAATTCCCAAATACTTCAGTGTGAGCAAGAACACACCCTAGTGAAAAATGAGAACATTCCCTATGAACTGCTAGCAGCCAGAGGCTTCAAGGAAGGAACATGTTATCCCAATTTCCCCAACCACAGTGCCAAGTCACTTATTTTGATAACCTTGAAATCCAGATAATGTAAGTTGAAGCTCTTGAATATTAGTAAACTGACTGGAATATTTTATTTTTCCCTAAAAGTAAAACCAAAAGTAACAAGTTATGTCTGTAATGTTGATTCTTCAAATATGACCTTAATAATCAAGAATTCAGCACTGAAGTAGACTTAAATGATTTATGGCCTTTGTGATACCTAACTCATAAGTATTTGAATTTTTTTTTCACAGATGCGTGATAATAGACAAGCATTTGGCAGCACTTTCAAAAAAACACATTGAAACAAAATTCCTGAAATTAAATGCTGAAAAATCTCCATTCCTGTGCGAGAGATTGGGCATCAAAGTAATTCCCACTTTAGCACTAGTAAAAGATGGAAAAACGCAAGATTTTATTGTTGGCTTTACTGATCTTGGTAATACGGATGACTTTACCACAGAAACCCTAGAATGGAGATTAGGCTGTTCAGACATAATTAATTACAGGTAATTAATATATATTGTTTTTAAAGTTAATGTGTGAGGGTTATATTTACAGATTCATTTTTTGCATAAAGACTCTGTTGATCATGTTGATGTTTAGTGTGCCCAAGACCAAAGTGAGCTAATAATCCAGCTGTTACAACAATAAACCTTTGGCAAGGAAAACAAAAGGAAGTGCCTCTCAGGAAACTCTTGAGAAAAGGAAGTTTTCCCAATACTAGTGAAAACAAACAAAGCTCTGGCCTTTGGGCTTTAGGATAACTAGTTCCCACCCACTCTCTTTACAGCTGCTTCTTAATGAGTCAGCTGAACGCCCAGCCTTTCCTCCCTAACTAATTCAGTCTTTACGGGATATCTTCACACTTGCACTGTTCAGCTGGGTATGGGGCATGTGCCTGTCCACGGTGATAGCAAAATGTAGGTTAAATATAATTTGACTTTAAAAAGTCTCTTACTGAAAAAAGTGCAAATGATTTCTACTATGTTGCATTTGCAAATGCCTGTCACATAGCCTTGTGTCTTGTGATCATTAATGGAAAGACATGGATAGTAAAAACCAGGGGTAGAGTTAAGGTACTGTGGGATCTGCAATCTGAATTTACTGATTGATGTGATTAAAAGGTCAACCTTGATATCACATTAATGTACCTTCTTTTGCTTTTAATATTCTTGGCATTTTTAAAGCTAAGTTATTAAAAATAGGGAAAGTTTTTCCATTAAACTCATCTGCATTTATTTGAATGTTAAATCTCCAAATTGTAGAATATATTCTCGTTCTACTTTAAAAAGAAGCGCACCATTTAGAATGGGAACAGTATATTGTAGTCTCATGGGAGCTAAGCCATAGTTAACACACTCCTAATCTAAGTAATGTATTTTTTCAGTGCCTTTCTAGAACTCTGTTTTTGTTTGGGCACTTTGTTAATCTGTAACTGTGTCTGAGGGAATGTCCGCTTCCTCTTTCCTTTTCCCTTTCTTCCACACTAGTAGCAAGCAAGCAGAGAGGAGGTGGCCAAAGAGAATATATTAGTAGGATTCAACAAATGAGGAACAAATGGACTTTCTGGATTGTAATTAATATGAGAAAAACCTATTCTTTGAATGCTATAGTGTCTTGAATCTAGTAAATATTGATGGGCTGGCTCATTCCTCACGTGGTAAAACTTAGAGGAAGGGATGAGGTGGGAGGAAACCTGTATTAAGTTCTCCTTACAGAGTTTCTCCCATCTAGGTTAGGGTTACCATCCGTCCGGGTTTCCCCGGACATGTCCGGCTTTTGGGTCTTTAAATAGCCGTCCAGGGGGA